TTACTTTTTTTTACTTCACTCTCTTGGCAACTTTAGTAGATATAAAATGCAACCATATCTTAAATCATATCCAACTGGAATAAAATATCTTAATTTTTTATGAATTTGATGTGGTATCAACCTAGGAAGAGTTCTATTGTGATTGAAAATCTTCATTCCTACATCAATTCTTCCTTTTAATAAACACTTGTTTCTCAAATATGTTCAAAGTTTCTCTGCTAAATACTAAAAATAAGATAATTTTAATTACAGTTTTCTTTAAAGGATTTTAGTCTGACCTCATTAACTTGACTCTTTTTACTTAGTATTATATTTTCAACATGGTATTTGCAAACAATTTTTTAAAGGGCTTTCAGGTTAATCTGTAATCATCTAAGGAAACTATATGACTATCACAACTGCCTAATTAAGATAGAAAATAAAAAAAATTGTCCTAGCAGGTTTGGCTCAGTGGATAGAGCATTGGCCTATGGACCAAAGGTTCCCAAGTTCGATTCAGGTCAAGGTCTCATACCACAGTTGCAGGCTCCTCCCCGGCCCAAACCTGGTGAGAGAGCATGAAGGAGACAACCAATTGATGTGTTTCTTTCACATCAGTGTTTCTGATTTTCCTCTCTCTTCCACTCTCTCTAAAAATCAATGGAAAAATATCCTTGGGTAAGGATTAAAATAAAATAATAACAAAAATAAATAACTAAATACTACAAAGTATCTAAACATTTTATAACCTGTAATCTACTCTGAGTGGCCAGATTATTATGATCTCTGAACTCATAATAACCTGGACAATATATATATATATATATATATATATATATATATATATATATATATATATATATATATATATGTGTGTGTGTGTGTGTGTGTGTGTGTGTGTGTGTGTGTATATATATATATATTAGAATCCTGGTGCATGTATTTGTGCATGGGTGGGGTCCGGCCAGCCTGGCCAGGGGGAGAGCACTTGGGTGGTTGGCAAGCCTGCCTGCTGATCGAACTCCTGGTAGAGAGGACAATTTGCATATTAGCCTTTTATTATATAGGATATACACTGAGTGGCCAGATTATTATATGTTCAGAGATCATAATAATCTGGCCACTCAGTGTATGTTTCCAAACATTATTTCAAGCAAAAGTGAAATGAGCATGAGCCCACAGAGGCCAAATGTGTCATGGTTCGGGCACACTGGCCAAGGCCATGGCGTGGAGGTGCCATTGGGCCCTGACGCTGCAGCTACGAGGTCTCACACACTCTGCAGTGCCTCTTCTTGAGGCAGTCATCTCAGCTGCTGCTCTGGTGTGGTTGTTGTGAGAATTAAAAGAATTCACAGACATAAAGTTCTTATAAGAGTGGTTGGACCTATGTCAGTGGTATGTTGTTGTTGTTGTTGTTATTATTATTATTGTAAAAAAAACATTCTGCTTTACACCAACATACTCAGAGGAAGAACTGAATGACCAGATGTTTCTAAGTATCTGTGTTGGTGCTCACAGAGCTATTGATAGTTTGACCAGATGTTTGAGTTTCAAACTGATAGAGCTAAGACTCATATGGTTCTTAGAATGACCACTTCTGACATCAAGATTAATTGGCCTGCACATCTTAGAGAGGTAGAATGAAGGCTAATGCTATCGCTGAATTATTTTTCAAATTCATGGGATGTTTTCATCATAAAAAGTTCATAGAGCTTTAGAATTTGAGCAATGAAAAGAGTTCAGGGCGCACCTACCGTAACCCTGAATGGGACAGATGTTGTCTACAAGGGAAATAAAGCGATCCTTCGAGTCACTTCATCAGGATCATTTAACTACTTAATGGCATTTAACTCTGACTAGAATCCATGTGCACTTGGGACACTGTTTTGTTCTGTTTCTTTTTCTTATATTTTTTCCCAGAGGCCATGTAGCATAGGGAGAGATTAAAAGCATGCGTTTGGGGAACAGTTATATTTGGGTTCAAGCCTCTATCCTGCTGGTGACCTCAGAAAAAAACATCTTAATGTCTCTCAGTCTGTCACTTCCTCTATAAAAAGAGGGGGTTTCAATGGAAATATTATGAGTATTAAATTATATGTACATGTAAACAACACAGTGCCTGGAACAGTGTAAGCACTCAGTGAATGTTAACGATTATTATTACTGTCATATATATTATCATTGTTTGTAAAAACAAAAAAACTCAATGTTTGTACCCAAAGTTCTTTCTGTTATTTGCCAAACTCTAAGAAATTGTTCTTGGGACAAATATTTAAGGGGTGTGTGTGTGTGTGTGTGTGTTGGAGAGAGAGAGAGAGAGGTGTGGAAGTGAGAGTTGGGGTGGGGAGAGTTGTGTAAGTTTTCATTATTTGACAAAGACAAATCCTAGGGTCCTGTGGCTTCTTCCAATTTCCCTCAGCCTACTTAGAGTCTGCTGTGACGTAGCCTATATACCAATTCTAACCTGTAAAACCTAACCCTTGGACTTCCCTCATTGATAGGTTGATGATGGAAGAAATTTTTCCAAGGAAGTAAATCAGGTGCGAAACGTTTGGTGGCAGCAAAGGAGGGCCACAAGAAGATACCTGCCATGTACATAATTCCACACAAAAAGTCTGATCAGTACATAACTTCATACAAAAAGACACTTGGAAATGTGACCAAAAATTTAAACCAAAAAGCCTGTATCAACACATACAAACTCTTCTACAACCTAAGATCTGTGGCTGGAAGATTATCAGTTGAGTGTGAAAATTTCAGAAAAAATAAAAACAGTGGAATATTCTGTCAAAAAAAAATCTACTTCAACACATTTAATTTATTTGTGAAAACAAATGTAAGCAATATTTGGAAGGGTTGTTTTTTGTTTTTGTTTGTTTTTTCATTTGTTTGTTTTGTTTAGACTAATGATAGAGCTTTAATCCCTAGGAAAAAAAATCCCAAATACATCATAGAAACTACTAGAATAATCCTTCATGAAGTCATGAGCAAAAAAAAAAAAAAAAAAAAAGGAGAAAAAAATAATTTCTCCTACCATTAAAAATAACCACCACAGCCACCCTGATCTCCATTCTTTCATTTCCTCAGGTCTGACATTCTGCAGATGACCGCCCTTATTTGTCCCTACATGTTTTCCAAAATATAAAAGTGAAATAGAGTCCCAAGGGCACTGTACTTGAAAGGTTATGAGAGTTAGAGAATTTTAACCATGCCTGCCAAATCAGCAGATGGCTTGTGATTATAATTATATGCATCAATAAAACGAATAATCTTTACAAAATTTGAATTTCTACTAAAGTAAGGGATTTAGTAAGCAGATGCAACAGAATGCATTTTCTTTAACCCTTTTGGTAGACACTGGTATCTCTCACACACAAAAAAGATCAAGAGCTCTGTGCATAAAAGGTTGTATACTCTCATTTTTGCCCTCTTTCTACAGTAGTCATATTGCCAGCCTCAGTCTTTCTCGGTTTTATTTTCTTCTTGAGCATATTTCATCCTCACCCTTCAAAATAGAAATGTTAAAACTAATTCCCTACGATTGTTTGCTATTTGAAAGAAGGAAATTTAAAAGAGGTAAACGCCTTCATTCTAATGCACACCAAATATACTATAAAAACAAACAAAAAAAGTGAACAGGAGGTGCATCTTTCTAGCTGATAGTATTCTTTCACAAATTAGGTTTTTCATGACAAAATTGTTCATTTTGTTTGTTTGTTTTCTTACTCTCTTTACATCTCAGGAATGAAAATACTATTTATTCCACTTAAATAATTAACCAGTTCATTTTGATCTGGTTCTGGATACCATGATCAGTAAAGGTAACTAAGTTTCAAATCATGCCAAGAATTTACTCTAAAAATTGGGTACATATAGGACACATCTGATAAAAAAGGATGAAGTGATGTTTACATGCTGGCCTTTAGCCATGTTTCCTTCATGAGGAAAACCTCAGCCTTTAGAAAATTAAATTAAATTAGCTATGCTACTTTTAAGTTTTTAAAAAGGTGGAGAAAATTGTTATCACTCAAAAATTGCATACTTATTTTTTATAAAATCATAATGTAAGTGTTTTTTCATGGAATTACCAAATGTAACTCTTCATTATAATAATATAGCTATTAAAATATATTTTACTTCAATAAACCAGCAAATATGATACTTAGGGATATTTGGAGAGCATGTATTTTGTGCAGGTATCTCTAGCATCATTCTATTTGCATTATATTAATCAAATAAATTTAAATGTTCTGATCTTAAAAGCTAGTATGCTATTGTAATTAACAGCACTTAATAGTATAAGTAAGTTACTAATAAGACTTCCAAGGCATTGGCAATTTTGTGAGCCAATGCAATTTACTTGAGGATATAAGACTTATAGAACAGAAATTTTCAGCAACAAATTTCTTGCAAAGTTGTAACTTAAATGTATACTTCAAATGATATAGAACAAATATTCCTACAAAAAATCTGAAGAGTTAAATCAAAAAAGTAATAAATTCTTGCATGAAACCTTATAAATTTGATGCAACACTTGACAAACAATATTCAAATACTTGTAAAGAAATTCAGGTATCTCTTAGAACTCACTGAAATGAAGTTTTAAAATATTCAGAAAAAAATTAGGTTTGATAGGTGATAAAATAAAATAAAATAAAATGATAATTTACTTGAAGAGGAAATTTTCTTTATCCAAATATAAAGTACTAAATAAAGGAACTAATCTAAGCCAAAGCTTGAAATAAATCTCAAAGGAGCAAAATTAACATAATAATTTAAAAAAAGAATGAAGAATGAGTTTAAATAATTTTAGTAAATAACAACCTTTTCTATAAATACTTAAGTTATAGATAAACCATTTTGAAATTAGATGAAATTAAATATTTCTGCTTATAGAAAGTTTAAGTTGAAATGTAATGAAATTCTAATGAACACTTTAGATTTCTGTTAGTAAAACTATGCATATTAAGTCCATTTGATCACATATACTTCATATACTTTTAGTATTTTTAACTTGTTACCTTAAACTTGAGCACTCAGTCATGGAAAATGGGATTTCCCAGTCCTTCAAGAAACCTCACAAAATTTAGGGCTCTGAAAGTAAAAACATGAGAAAGAGTTCTATAGTGGTAGAAGCAAATGTGGATGGAACATACAACATTATTGGCCACTTACTGTCTCAAACTCCAAATGGAAGTTAAAAAAACAACAACATTGTACACCAGGGCTGTAGGCACATTATCTTATTTCATTTTCATATAAATCATAAGGCAAGACTCATCTAACCTAGCCCCCATCTAACAGACCAGGAAATCGAGGCCAGAATAGTTAAATAACTTAAACAGGACTCCAGGTTTAGTAAATGGAAGAACCAGGTTTTAAACTTGAGAAAGTGGTGGTGTAGATTCTCTTGTCACTTTTGTCACTCATATGTCACGTATAACCACTACCTTATTATCTAGGAATTGTTTTCTTCTTAGATCAGGGGTTCTTGGGGGTAGGAATGAAGACCCTATAGTCCTTGCAGCCCCTAATACAATCCTTTAAACCAAGTCATGTAAGTAATACATATTTGTCAAGTAAGTGAATCTGAATAAAAGTTCAGAAATACAAAGTTTCCTTCTGTCAACAAAAATGAAATCCCTCAAAGTTCTTTGAAAAAGAAAGTTATACATTAGATAAAACCATTTCCTTAGTGGTTTTTCATAGTTAAAAATGTTTAAATCTCTCCAACTCAGGACCAACATTAGTGGAAGCAAGTTCATATAAACCAAAAGTAATGATCTGTACCCTCTCCTCTTAATTACAACAGAGCTCTCTATATTTTTTTCAAGAATGACAATTTCATTTCTGTGAGAGTAATTCTACTCAGTTATAGCCACACTGTAAACAGATTTTAGTCAAGTTTGCTCACCCTTTGCTATCCTGGTGAGGACAGGGGTAAAATAATCTCAGCCATCCAAAATGACTGCGCATTCTCTGAACATTTCACTCCTGTGTTCACATGGTGAACATCAGTAACTATAGGGAAATAAGCTATAAAACAGGAAATTCAAACTTGAAATGTCCAGCACAGGATGATAATCTAATATATCTGTAAGGATGACTAGTTTTATAACTCTGCCTTAAACTAAAATGGTTAGGCAGCAGTTGTAGCCTGTGCAGATAGCTTGCTTTTCCCATGATTGCTACCATATTACAGGCATCATGATGAGATTACATATTAGAAAAATCTGAATTTGGATAAGTAAAAGTACATGTTCCCTACATATATTTTACTTGAAATTAACAAAACACTATTATACCACTTTCTTTACAAAATCTGTTTCTTTTAAATTATCATTACTATAAACATAATAGAGTTAATAATATATATGTTATATATTATGTACATATAGACATTAACAAATTAGATAAACAAAATGAATGTTAGGAACACATTTTGGAAGAAGAAAAGTACTTTAAGATTAAAAAAAAGAAGAAGAAGAAGAATATGTGACCTCTAATCACCCAGATCATATTATGAACCTCTGTTATGAATCTCTCCTAAATACTAATAAGAGTGTCTTACTCCCTATCATAATATTTCTGTATCCTTACATAAATAAGAATGTCTCAGTGCAAGTTAGCAACTGATTTTTATAAAACATGAAGAGTTTTACTTCATGAACAGATGACTATGACATGACATTCTGATATTAAATGACAGTGTCATTAAAAATTGAATCCTGACACTGATATGATGCATCCCATCTATTTTAAAACGCCGCACTTATGTTAACAACACTTTTCAAATATTCTCAGTGAGATTGCAGAGTTTGTTAAACCAGTGGCAATCCACTCAGCTGACAGTTTCCTAGAACAAAATGTTTAATTTACCTGAATGTCTTGTAAGAAAATCATCCCTTCGTGAACTAAACATCCTCTGAGTACACAAGTCTAAGGCAGACAGACATTTCAGCGAGGCAAATAAGACTTTCTGGCAACTTCCTGTTGCCATATTTCTCTGAAAGCTTCGACTTCAATGCTGCAAATACATTTTCCCAGGGACATAGGAAGCCAACGCCACTCCGTGTCAGACAGCTTTGATTTTCCCCCCCCCAAGTAAAGCAAGCAAATAACACTCATCCTATTCCATATCACAGATTTGCAATGATTTCATTGCAGATTCAAAAGAATAGAATACACAAACAAAAGAGGAGCCTTTATTTTCTGTTTTCATTTTGTTGTGTTCCATTATTAGATTTTTTAAAGATACTGATCAAGAAAATGACCATCCCATATATTATATCAAACAAATATTAGCAGTTGTGATCATTTTAGATTGACAGGCATAAACTTTACTGCACACGTTCACACCCAGGGTTTCCATTTTCCTTTAAAAGCAGCAGGACTAACTAAAATCAAAGTTGCCGCATGCATCTGAAAGTTTTTCAGACCTGAACACACACACACCTGCATGATTGCGAAAGTACTGTTTCTCCAACAGAGAGCTTAGCCCCGCATTCAGGTTCACTTGCCTTTTTGGAGTACACGTTTACTTTGGAAATGCAAAAACTTTTATGTACCGGCTACACAACATAACAACAACAACAACAACAACGTAAGAACACGGATCAGTGGAACACTATTTCCAGAGTGACAGCAGAGCCCCTTCCTTCTGACCTACGAGAGCCGGACTCTCAGCCCCACGCGCGGTGAGACTAAGATTTGTTCCACCTTCTCCCTGGGGCTTAATTGCCAGACTGACTTACCGGTGCTCCTAGCCTTTGTTCTGCCTCTGGCGCTGACATCAGGGAGGCAGCGATGTAGAAGAAAGCAGGGGTGGGCTGGGGGAGTCCAGTGCTGTGCCGTGGTGTGGTGTGCGGGGACACTCTGTGATACTCTAGTGAGCTGCTAAGCTTTTTTTGTGGGCTTTGTGTCATTTACTTAACGACCAATCTCATTAGCTGCCAGGGTACAATGGGCTGATGCATTTTCTATGTACATACTCCACACAGTGACCCTCAAGGTTGCCGAAGGTCTATTTAATCAGTCAAATGCTGAATATATTTGCAGTAAATCACACACACACACAAAAAAAAAAAGGAAAAAAATGGGACTACAGAGGTATCTTGCAGCCTTCCTGTGTATGGGTGGACGTTCACAGGTAATAAGAGGCATGCATATTCAGCCAAGACAAGGGGAGAAAAGGCAGAGATGAAATATCTCCTGTGTACTGGTGACCTTAATTTTAGGAAACTTTCAGGATCAATGGTATTTTCTCTTCGCAAGGAACCCAGGTTTGAAATTGGATTTCTGTCTTTTAATAAAATTAGCCAAAAAAATAATAAGAATAAAAAAGTAAGAATTGCTTTCTTTAGCAGTTCCTCCTCACTCCGAAGTCACCCCCACCTCCGCCCTGCCCCTTGCCCGCGCACCCTCAGAACTGGCAAAGTTGCATCTTCGCCCCCTTTCAGTTCCAAGGTACAAACCCTTTTAACTCCTGTGGTAAATGAAAGGCTGGGAGCACTCTGAATGACGACAGCTGTCCATAAGTATCAGGAGCGCTCTATTGTCCGGCTCGTCCCTGGGTAAAATGAATACTTTACAGCAGGGGCTGTGCAGCTTGGCTAAAGAGGACGGGGAGAAGGGGAGCGGGTCGCTGGAGACTTCACACACTAATTTAATCTGGGAAAAGGACAGCCCCTGCATCTCCCTCGAACAGACTGGCAGCAATCTGGGCCCCCACAGAACTATCTCCTTTTGCCTGTGCTCTATTTATTCCTTATCTCTGTTTACCAACCGCTAGGTCCCTTTCATTCACACCACGAGGCCGTTTTCCTACTATCAGTCAGCAGCTGACACTGTGGAAGAGCCTCAAAGGCAAAAAAAAAAAAAAAAAAAAAAAAAAAAAAAGAGGGAGAGAGAGAGAGAGAGAGGGAGGGAGAGAGAGAGATCAAAACTAAACCAAAGCTGTATAAACAATGTAACAGTACAAGTAAATGCATAAACCCTGATTCTTAACCCAGCCCACAGGGTGCACACAGAACCTTTATAGCAAGTCCAACAAGCCCACCACAGGGAGCTCTGGGCCACAGAGAAAGAAAAGTCAGAAACCCATTCATGAAACCAGCATCCAAAAAGAATTGCTAAACTAAGTGCTGGCGGCTGAAGCAGCCCTGCTTTCAAGGATGTTCTTTCCCTGACGTCGATCCATTAACTGGCAACCAGGAAACATGTACCTCGCCCAAAAACAGGTGACCTGGGCATTTTTAAGGGAGACCTCACTCTCCTTGAAATGGTAGCAAATAAAAAATCCACCAATAGGACTACAAGTTAAAGGGAATGCAACGGTAACTTTTCCAATACCTTACTATATTGATTAACCTTAAACAATCCAAACACTGAGCATCAAACTTCCACTATGCTTATATACAAGTACTAAAAGTCCTGTGCAGCCAGCTAACGAAGTCTTTTCTCCATGTCTTACGTCAAAGGGACTAGCATGGCAGAGGAGTTGGGAGAAGACTGCGCACAAGTCCCTCTCCTGTGAGGTGCTCTGCACACTGTGAACGCACACAGACGGCAGCAACCAGCCCGAAGGATCGCAAGAGGAGGAAGCCACACGAGTGCTCCTTGGAATCTCAAAACTTTTGAGTAAATGTGAATTTTGAATCTAAGATTTGCCTTATTAACCTTGAATGTTAATTTTGAATATGTCAACCAATGGGAAAATGTCTTTATATCAGTAGTTCATTAATGTGATTTAGGATATATATGATTTAGTGTGAGAACCCAGATAGCTCAGAAAGAATATATGTGATTCAGAATAAATACACACACACACACACACATATATATGCTTAATATATATATATATATATATATATATATATATATATATATTAAGCATAAATATACATACTGCTACTCATATAGACATATACAAACTGAGAAAGGGTGTACTTTCTTAGCACCTACAGTTCTCTAATTAAAAAAAAAAAAAGTCTGACTTAGTTGAAATTTCCCTGAGATTATTTTTAATCATTGAAACGATTGGAAATGATTGATTATTGTCATAAAAATCAACACCGTATTGACTCAATCACTAAGACCTTTACCAAAAAAAGGGGAAGGCAAAATGTAGCTCATTATCTGGGATGATCAACTGGACCAGATTTCAGTTTGTGTTTTCACCTATATGCATTATGAGCAATGAAGTCTTTACTACTTGGATCCTTTTTTCCAAATGAATTAATGAATTAAATTTATCCTTTCACCAGCTGCTAGGCAGCAGATGGAACCATTTCTGAAGCCTTGTTGAATTCAATCCATAAAACTCATTTCCTAGGATTAGCAGTCCAAAGTTTCTTTTAATGTTTATATACCGCTTGGGATTTTGAATTTCATGATGTTAAACTTCCAATTTAACTATTCTTTCTGCATTCCATATCAAACAATTAGGATCTTTTTGAATTTCTATAGCAGGCATGGGCAGGTCACCTGAGGACAAGAATTCATTTCAAGAGCAATAGTCGGGCAAGTTACATTTTTTGATGTTTGTTCACATTTGGCCTACTACCATGGCAACTGTTTGCACTGTGCTTTTATATTGTCAACCTAAAGAATTATATATTTAATAGCTTGTGACTTTTGTCTATGTACTCATAAATACTTTAAAGCTGCAACCATGGACATTTATTAACATTATGGAAATTTAAAGTTTTGTCTTTTAGTTATAAGAGTAAGATTGTTACGTTGCCTGAAAAAAAAAAACACGTCTGTATATACAAGGTTAATCTATCTAATAAGAATTTAATACTGACCTTTATAAATGGTAATAAAGCCCATGGCACAGATTATGCAGATAGGAATTTTATAACAGTTAACATTTTGAAGAGCATACTACCATGGACAGCTCCAAACATTTCTATTCTACTTAATTTGCACTTACAATGGTCTAATTTAAGAAGACCCAGGAAACTTCACATCCGACTGTCTAATTTTATAACAGAATAGTAATGCCACCCTTCAAAAAAAAATGATGGGTACTCCTTTAAACATAACTGAATTAGAATCTTATAAAAGTTCCAGTGTACTTTGAAATGTTTTAAATACAACTACCTGATGCTCTCCAAGGTACAGTATATTCACATTTAAAATTCAAAAGCTTTTAAGCTAAAATGATGCTGCTTCTTTAACATAAATATAACCAAAAGGAGAGTGAATCACTCTTATGTTCAACAGTGATTTCCGCTAATTTGGCACAAGAAATCTATATTAATCTAATATTGGAGTAAGCCAAGAAGGCCACATAATAATCACCACTGAGTAATTGAATATTTAGAAGAAGAAGAAAAGAGATAACTGGTAATCTTAAGTTACTCACATAAAAGTAGAATAATAGGCAGATGATATTAGCAAGGGAGAAAGTTAGGCAAAGTCTAATTTCAGTTTTATTTTAGATCATGAATCTGATTATTCCCTGGAACTTTATTTTTTCCCTAACATAAAAGTAGTATACATAATTATATTCGAGGTTTTTAATCATTTTTCCTTTAGTTATGGCATAAGATGAGAGTTGGTATTACTTTTTCTGACAATAAGCCACTTTCTTTTTTAAAAAAAATTAATGTTGGATAAATTGTTTTATACATTTTGCCTAATAGCTGCTTTGTTCTTTGTAAAAGCTTACTACCCCCATTGAGAAGACTATTTCTACTATTTCCACATGTATCTAAGCAAGCATGTTTAATAAATACCTTGTTAGGATGAAAGAAATATGAGGTTAAGTACTGTTTATCAAGTTTGAAAATTTTCTCTATTCTTAGTAATATTTTATTGGACTTATCCTTCTGCAAAATTTTGCTCAGGGTTAGTCTTTCTCATTCTTCAGCCTTTTCTAATATCACTCTTTAACTTGCTGAAAAGTCTTCTGACATCTGCATTTATCAAAAATGAACTGTATCATTTTTAAGGAGACTGCTCTTATTCAATTCTCTAAATATTTACAAATAAGATTATAATTACAATACTTATCAATTTAATCTTTTGCCACTTGCCACGAACTCTTTCCCTCTGTGTAGCCAAGGCCAGGATTTTACTGTTCCACAATAATATGAGACATCTTTTTTATATTGGTTATTCCTTTAGACAAGTAACATATCGTATTGACAGCCCTGTACCCCAAAATATCTCCTCTATTATAGTGAGATGTCAGATTTTGGGTCTCTCTGGTAATTTTTGCATTTTCAGAAATCATGTCCACTTTACTTTGCTACAAAGAAAAAAAAAAGTGTACAAAGTTTCATCTCCTATCAAGTGCTCTCCGCTGCAAATCTGCCCGTTTCAAGTATGTACCTACACAAAGGCGTTACCGACGCAGTATAAATGCAATTGCACCATGACACTTTATCCTCAAATCCTCCTCAAAGCAGATACAATAATCATTTTCACCACACACCACACACACACACACAAAAAAAAAAGATGCAGAAATAGCATCTAAAATAATGACCCCGTATCCATCCCAGCACAAACCCGACACGGAAGTTCAAAAACACGCACCAGAAAAAGCCATCCACACACACTTCTAAACTTCCACCGACAGCAACCTACTCTTTCCCCCAGAAACAGCATTACGGCACAAGACATGAGAACGTCACTGAGCCACTTTACCATCAGTGCAAGCCGTATGTGGTCCAGAAGTTTTAAAACTTACTTTTCTGCTTGTTTCCAAAACTTACACCTCTCTCCTCCCGGGCGGGCTGGCCGGAGACACGGGCGCTGTGTCTTCGGAAGGTGGTTCCCATGGTATGACAAGCAGTGCCTCTGACTGCGTGCAGATAAGCACCTGCGTCCGTGTCCCCTCCTTACGTCACACCTCCCTATTCAGCCCTCCTCGATAGAATTCACATTTGCACATCAACAGCCTCTTGCGCATACACAGATTTTTTTTTTCCTCCTCTTCTCCTCCTTTCGGCACTGGGCCCAAAACTTTCACTTTAATTTTCATCACATGATTGCTGTGGCATATGTCCTTCCAAACCTCCCATATATCAGTCATCATGCAAATGAGATGGAATATCACTCCTCTGCAGCAGATGGCCAGGGATGATAACAATGGCTCAACAGAGGAGATTCAATGTCCCTGACTTTATCGCCACGGCAACAACAACCTAAAATATATGTAATGGAAGTGGTGCTTATTAATTTTGCAGGCTCGAGTGTTCTGATTTTGTGAGCTGAATGGGCTCGAGTTAAAAAGGGGGCTGTGTCCTCCTGCCTCGGAGAAGACTATCTATAAAAGCCAGGGACCTGGAAATTATTTTCAGTGACTAAGAAGGCAACAGCCTAGCAATTATTTGAGTAATTAGGTGTAATTCCTCCCTGTAGGCCTTGTACCCTCCTGCGCTTTGCTTCACAGAAGCTCGCGCATTAGACAGGCGCAGACACTGAAAGGGGGGAAAGTGCCTCCAGATACAGCGGGAGAGCTTGCGGGAGCCCCGGCTGCTTGGCCTCCACCAGGCTCGGCAAACACAAGCCTCAAGCTACGAGTAAATAGCGGCCCCGCTCCGCAAACACACACCGATTACAATGACAAAGGCGGCCACGCTCCGGGGAGGGGCTTCGGGAAGCTTTATTCCAGGCTGGGCTCCCTGTGAGCAGCGAAGAAGGCAGAAGGGTTTGAGCCCCAAGCCCAGAGCTGCCTGCCTAGCGGCCACCACCGGACACCAGCTCACACCCCTCGCTCTTTGCTGAGGGTGACCCTCCACTGGGGAGTTCTTTCCATGTGGCTACTTCCAGCCCTCCCCGCAAGTGGGCATGCGATGTGCTCTCACTTCCTAATGGTACTAAATACATTCAATACTGGAAAAGCGACTCTTAAGAATGTACAACAAGCCCTTTTACATTGTAAAAGAATGACTGTCAGCCCTAACCGGTTTGGCTCAGTGGATCGAGTGTAGGCCTGTGGACCGAAGGGTCCCAAGTTTGATTCCAGTCAAGGGCATGTACCTTGGTTGCGGGCACATTCCCAGTAGGAGGAGGTGTGCAGGAGGCAGCTGGTCGATGTTTCTAACTCAACTCTCTATCCCTCTCCTTTCCTCTCTGTAAAAAAAATCAATAAAATATATATTTTTTAAAATAAATAAATAAATAAATAAATAAAAGAATGACTATCAAACTGCCCAAATAAGCAGGTGCATTTGTGAAACAAGTATGGATGAAAATTTGAGTGAAAAAATCTGGTCTCCAAATCTTCCCCCGGAAACTATTTTTAAAACACCCTTTTTCACCCTAGCTAGTTTTGCTCAGTGAATAGAGCTTCGGCCCCTGAACTGAAGGGTCCCAGGTTCGATTCCAGTCGAGGTCATGTACCACGAAGCAGGGTCCATCCCCTGCCCAGTCCCTGTTTGTGGCGCCTGCAGGAGGCAACCAATCAATGTGTCCCTCACACATCAATGTCTTTCTCTCTCTCTTTCTCTCCCTCCCCCATCATTCCTTCCACTCCCTATAAAATAGAAATTTAATGGAAAAAATACCCTCCAGTAAGAATTAACAACCAAAAACACCCTTTGAAATATTTTCATGCTAGCCAACAAAAATAAATGAAGATTTACTTTCTGCTGGCTTATAAATTTGAACCACCAACTATAAGCTGCATAATTTATTTTGTCAGTAGTAATTCTCTCACTACTATGCCAAAAGTTATCTAGATGAACCACTTTAACATTTTTCAAAGTTTGAGCCTGCTTATTTTGTATTGCTTTAAAAAACACCATGGCAGTATCATCTCTTAAGGGCAAACTAGATTCTGTCCATCATAGAAAAGAGAGATATTAATAAGAACTCATTGCCTTAAGAGAGGATAGGTGTTAAAAATCAATCAATAAATAACACTTTCTCACATGCTTCCAACACAGGCACTGTGATAGGCTCTCTGTCCAGAATGATGGGTGTGAGGTGAAAGATCTCCATCTTCTCTTCCAGAATGACCTAAATAATTTGTTTGAGACCCTCCCGCATTGATCTCTTACAGCACATGTGTCAAACACAAGGCCCGCGGGCCAAATCCGTCCCGCCAGGCCTTGCAATGTGGCCCGCACTGCGCTGTCATCACTGCACTCCGCTGCGTTTCCATCACAATGACAGTTTATGACTGTTCAGTAAACCATTCGGCCCGCGATTTAGGCTGGATTTTAGATTTTGGCCCCTTCTCTGATTGAGTTCGACACCCCTATCTTACAGTGTCTCAGCTTTAGGCAAGGCACAGACACTCCCCCACCCTGACCCTCACTCCTGGTTTCCTCACTCCCCTCCCCCACGCCTGCTCACCTTTTCTGGTTGACCCCAGCCTGCCTTCCTAGCACCTTCCCTCCGGGGGCCTAGCAGGGATAGCATATCTCCAAGTCCATATTAATCTAAACAAAGTATTCTACTACTTGCTAAAGTCAGGTACAATAATGAATTCTTTAAAACCTCCCTTTAAAAAATATTATAGTTTCATTTCCGCCCTAGCCGGTTTGGCTCAATGGATATAGCATCGGCCTGTGGGCTGACCGGTCCTGGGTTTGATTCCGGTCAAGGGCACATATCTTGGTTGCAGGCTCCTCCCTGGCCTCAGCCCTGGTTGGGTGAGTGCAGGAGGCAACCAATCGATGTCTTTCTCTCACACGGATGTTTTTCTCTGTCTTTCCCTCTCTCTTCCACTCTCTCTAAAAGATACATGGAAAAATATCCTTGAGTGAGGATTAAAAATGAGTAAAATAATAAAAATCGTTCTGTTTCCCACATTAGGGGGTGTGTAGCTCACTTTCCTTCCTAACACGTGGGCTCCCCATTCATCAATGCTTTGCAATACACTGTGAATAAAATAATCGTCCAGTGCAAAATATCATTGTGCTATTTAAAGGTAATACTCCAATGCTAGGGAAATTAGGGAGCAGATGTCCAATCTGAAAATGCCCACGCTGGGAATGTATAGTACTTAAACTCAACTCTTTAAATGAACCTCTTTACTGAGCTATCAGCTATACCACCACGCGATGCAAATAAATCCATACAAAATGCAAATGTTGTTGCTGCAGGTACAGTGTAGTTAGTAGCTGTATGAACTTCTAACAGACAGACCAGTTACCTGATCAAGTTCAGTCACTTTAATAGATGTTAACCCTGAAATAAACCTAATATTGGAAATTTAAAAATTAAGTTTTACTGAAATATAAATGACCAAATTATGGACCTATTCAAAGTATACACACAATTCAATGACTTTCACTATATTGTAGAGTTGGACAACCATTGCCATCATTTTAACACCTTTGTATCACTCCCTCCCAAAGATGCCATAACCATTGGTAGTCACTCTCTGTTCACCCTCATTCCCTTCCCCCATGCCAATTTCCTCCTTCAGACCCAGAAACCACTGATCCACTTTCAGTCTCTATGAATTTGCCTGTTTTGGACATTTCATAATAACCATACAACATTTGATTCTTTCACTCTGCTTAATATCTTCAAGGTTCAAGGTTCACTCATGTTATAGCATGTGTCAGTGTATTTCTCTTTATTACTAAAGGATAGTTCCTTATTTTAATATACCACATTTTATTTATTCATTCATCAGCTGCTGGACATCTATAAATGATGCTGCTATATATATCAATATATAGTTTTTGTATGAAAATACATTTTTATTTCTCTTGGATCCATACCCAGGAGTGGAATCGCTTGGCCCTTTGGTAGCCCTATCTTTAATTGTTTGAGGACTTCACGGATGGTTTTCCAAAGTAACTTTTCCATTTTAAATCTCTATCAGTAGCGTTTGAGGGTTCTAATTTCTCCATGTTTTCACCAAAACTTGTTATTGTCTTTTCTTACTATGGCTGTCCTAGGGCATGTGAAGTGCTCTCTCATGGTTTTGATTTGCATTTTCACGTGCTTATTGGTTATTTGTGTGTCTTTTATTTTTATTTTTTTTATTTATTTATTTATTTATTTATTTATTTATTTATTTATTTTGAGAACTGCCTATTCAGGTCTTTTGGGCATTTTTAAATTGGGTTGTCTTTTATTCTTAAGTTGTAAGAATTTTTATATATGTATTCTAGATAAAAGTTCCTTATCAGAGACATCATTTGCAAAAAGTTTTCTCCCACTGTATGGTGTGTCTTTTTGCTTTCTTGACTTCATCCTTCAAAACACAAAAGTTTTTTTTAATTTTGAAGAAGTCCAATTTATCTATGTGTTTCTTTGATTGCTTGTGCTTAATTGTCATATCTAAGAAACTACTGCCAAATCCCACCTCACAAAGATTACATCTGTGTTTTCTTCTAAGAGTTTTATAGTTTTAGCTCTTACATTTAGGTCTTAATCCACCTTAAGTTAATTTTTTATATTTGACATAAAGTAGGGTCCAACTGCATTCATTTGCATATGAATATCCAGTTGTCCTAGTGCCTCTATTGAGAAACATATCCTTTCCTCATTGAAGTACCTTGGCATCTTTACAGAAAATCAATTTACCTCAGAAGAGGGGATTTACTTCTGGACTCTCAATTTTACTTCATTAATCTATATGCCTACCAGTATCTTTATGCCAGTGCCACACTACCTTGATTACTTTAGGCTTGGAGTAAGTTTTAAAATGGGAAGTGTGAGTTCTCTAACTTTGTTCTTTTTCAAGATTGTTTTGGCTTTTCTAGGTCGCTTGAATTTTAATATAAAACTGGGGATCAGCCGAAACTGGTTTGGCTCAATGGATAGAGCGTCGGCTTGGGGACTGAAAGGTCCCGAGTTCGATTCCGGTCAGGGGCATGTATTGTATCTTGGTTGCGGGCATATACCCAGTAGGGGGTGTGCAAGAGGCAGCTGATCGATGACTCTCTCTCATAGATGTTTCTAACTCTCTATCTCTCTCCCTTCCTCTCTGTACAAAATCAATAAAATATATTTTTTTAAAAACTGGGGATCAGCTTGTCAATTTTCAAAAAGAAACTAGCTGAGATTTTGATAGGAAATATGTTGAATTAGATCACACTGACTAGTATTGCCATCTATACATTATTAAAATTTTTAATCCATGAACATGTCTTTCATTTGTGTAGGCCTTTCTTTCGACAATGTTTTATACTTTTCAAACTTTATGCTTCTCTTGTTAAATGTATTCCATCCTATTTTATTCTTCTTGATGCCATTACAAGTAAAATTGCTTTTTACTTTCATGTTTAGTTTGTTCATTGTTATTGTACAGAAATACAATTAATTTCTGTATGTTTATTTTGAACTTACTTGTTAGCTCTAACAATTATCTAGTGGATTCCTTAGTATTTTCTACACACAACTCTATATGCAATATCTTGTCATCTGCAAATGAAGATAGTTTTACTACTTCCTTTCGATTTGGATGACTTTATTTTATTTTATTTTATTTTATTTTATTACCTAATTACCCTTGCTAAAACATCCAGTATGGATTGGAATTGACAAGAACAGACATTGTGGGGTTTTTTGTTCCTGATCTTAGACCAGTGGTTCTCAACCTTTCTAATGCTGGGACCTTTTAATACAGTTCCTCATGCTGTGGTGACCCCCAACCATAAAATTATTTTTGTTGCTACTGCATAACTGTAATTTTGCTACTGTTAATGAGTCATAATATAAATATCTGTGTTTTCTGATGGTTGTAGGTGACCTTGCTAGAGGTTCTCAACCTGAGGGTGGGTCATGATGGTCTTAAGCGACCTGGGGGTCATGAACAGCTAGCAGGGTGGCCTGAGACCATCGGAAAACACAGATATTTACATTATGATTCATTAGCAGTAGCAAAATTACAGTTATGAAGTAGCAACGAAAATAACTTCATGGTTGGGGGTCACCACAACATGAGGAACTGTATTAAAGGGTCACAGGATTAGAAAGCTTGAGAACCACTGTCTTAGAGGGAAAGAATTCAGTCTTTCACCACTAAGCAGGATGTTAGCTAATTTGGGGATTTTGAGAACTAAGTTTAAAAGCATTTTTAGCTTAAAAGTTAATTGCTACCTGGCACACAGTAAACTGTCTTAACTTGGTGTGTTTTTTAGAGAGAGAGAGAGAGAGAAAAAAAAAAAAAAAAAAAAAAAACCCTCTACTCTAAAAATTTACAAGTACCTGGAATGGAATTTGTCACTGTGCTGGCCACACTTCCTTCCTAGCAGCCTGCCCCCCTAAAATCTGCTGAGTTATAACTGGAATCATCTGACATGAGAATTCATTCTCTCCAGTTTTGACTGCCTTGCTGACTCAGAGCACCCCTAAGAAAGATACTAGCATCCTGTCAGAGCTAAGGAGAAATGTTTACTTTGAAGTGTTTCAGATTCTGGCAGTAAAGCCAGTTAGAGCCCACGCTCAGTATCTTGGGAGCTGTCTCAGATTTGGTGGGTTTCTTACTATTCACTATTCATCTCTGGCCTATGGCATGATTAAGAGCTCTCCACTGCTGAAACCTGTTTGGCTCAGTGAGTAGAGCGTCGGCCTGCAGACTGAAGGGTCCCAGGTTCCATTCCGGTCAAGGGTGTGAACTTTGCGGGCACATCCTCAATAGGGGGTGTGCAGGATCTCTTTTTACAGGAGATCGATGATTCTCCTTCATTGATGTTTCTAACTCTCTATCCCTCTCTCTTCCTCTCTGTAAAAAAATCAATAAAATATATATTTTTAAAAATAGAGAGAGCTCTCCACAGAGTTTGGTTGATGAGCTCAGTCAGCCATTTCACTGGTCCAGGAGGCAAGGCACTTGCTCATTCATTCTCATGTTGGGCTGACTCCCAAGTATAAACTTTCTCAATCTGAGCAGGTATTTCAGATTTTAAAGTTCTAGTCCTATTGAGTTACTGACTACTCACCCTGCTGACCACTTTCCATGCTTCCAATTGGCTCTAGATAACAAGCCCACCCACACCACATTCAGGACCCCCAGACTCCAACAAGTGCTTCGCCGTTCCCACAGCCACTCACGGAACTTCACTACTTTAATTGTATTTTTCAACCTTATTTCCATTGCCTTGTTCTAAGCTCACTGTTCACTATCGAAGCTCCTAACATAACCTAGTACCCAACCTCTCAAGTTTTGACTATTATGAATGAGGCTGCTATATACATATATCCATGTGCAGATTTTTGTGTAGACATGTTTTCAACTCCTCTGGGGGGTCGGGGGGAGAGAAACACATTAATGAATGCATTTGCTGGGGTAGATAGTAAGATTGCGTTTAGTTTTATAAGAAACTGCCAAACTGTTCTCCAAAGTGGTTGCACAATTTTGCTTTTCACCAGCAATGACTGAGAGTTCTCAGCACGTGGTGTTGTCAGTGATTGAGATACTTTTAATTTTTTAATTGCTAAATAACTAGGTTACGGTGCCTTCCATACCTTTAAGCCAGCAGAGACTCGAACATGTAGATGCATATAACTAGTCAAGTTTATTATATTTCATTTCATGCTCTACCAGGTTGTTATAAAAATAATAGTATGAAGCTATTGTTACTATACAATACCACAAATACATTATATTATATAGAAACATTATAAGCTTTTCTGGGCTAATAATCATATTATTATTAACAATAGCTAATATCTATTTAACACTCAGTTATCCCAGTGCTTTATTTTCCTGAGTCATTTGATTCTCGCAAAAACATTGAGGTGTATATTTTACAATCTCCATAGTAGAGACAAAAAAATGAGGCTTATAATGTATAAGGAAATATTTGGCCAAAGAAATTAACCTCTTAACCACTATGTTGAGTCAGAAAGAACTGGGGCCCAGATCTGGCAGTAAATCAATATGTGAAATTAGACCAGACTTTGTGCCTTCATTGTTGAGTCTATAATTAAGAAGGGTAGAAGCAAACAAAAGGTAAGTGTAAGATATTGAGGAGATAAAGAAAACAAAATGTTCTCAAAGGTGGTTAAATTCCTAGGCTTTAAGATGTTTAAAAAAGTGCCCAGCCAGGGTTGCTGAGTGGTTGAGCATCAACCCATACACCAAGAGGTCACCAGTTTACTAGTAATTCCCAGTCAGGGTACATGCCCAGCTAGCAGGCTCAATCCCAGTAGGGAGTGTGCAGGAGGCAGCTGGTCAATGTTTCTTCTCTCTCTCTCTCTCTCTCTCTCTCTCTCTCTCTCTCTCTCTCTCTCTCTCTCTCTTTCTTTTTTTTAAAAAATATTAAATGCTATGAAAATAATCCAGGCAACTATATCTTATGTTCTAAAAGGGGAGCTGCAGAGATGGAGAAATATGGTCAGATTTAGAAAAAATTTTGGAGATAGAAATTTTTGGAAGTAAGAATTACCTCTTATTGGGGGGCCTGAGCAATTTCATGGAAGGTAGTGCATTTAATGACAAAGAGAAACTGAAAGAAACAAGTTTCAGTAAGGGTAGGGAAATAGAAGAGTTGTCATGTTAAATTAAGCAACCTATTGGGAATAATTCTGGATTTCAGTGAAAAATATAGGTTAGAAAATATAAATTTGGATGTTGTAGCCATGAGGATAGCATTTAAAGCCAAAGGGATTAGATAAGATTACGCCGTGAGAGTATAGCTAAAGGAAACAGTAGGAACCCAAGGGTCACTCACTGAAATAAGAAACACGTAGGGACAAGCACAGGAGGAGAAGGCGGTAGGAGAGACTGAGCAGATGATATCACAGATGTCAAGAAAAAAAGAGTTTATTTAGAAGGAGCATGCAGTCAACTGTATCATATACTGGCAATTAGTCAAATAAATCGGAGACAGAAAAGGAACCATTGAATTGGCAATTTGAAGTCAATAGTGACCAGGCAAGAGCAGTTTTAGAAATGGTAAGGATAAAATAGTGTACTGATGAGAAAATGGATGCACGGAAGCAGAGTCTTGGGCCATAGATGGCTCTTTCAAGATGTGTTATTGTGACAATGAGCAGAGTGATATATATATATATATATATATATATAATGCCAGCAACCAGAACACCAGAATGACCAGAACGACCCGTCAGTGACTATGATGCCCTCTGCAGCCAGCAATCCTGAACTGGCAGGATGGGGGGGGGAATGGAGGGGACCCCACAACCAACCTCCCTCAGCCCTTCCCCAGCCAGCCCCACCCCTGATCGCCCCACCCCCACCCCAATAGGGGGCAGGGCCAGCAGGCCAACCTCCTGAAGCCCCTCCCCCTACCAGCCCTACCTGATCAGTCTGCAGCCTCTCCCCCAGCCAGCTCCTCCCCTGACCTGCCCTCCCATTTCAATCAGGGACAGGGATGACCAGCCCACCGCCCACAGCTCCTCCCCATAGCCAGCCCTGCCCCTAATTGTCCCCCCACTCCAATCGGGGCTGGGACTCACCAGACAATCCCCTGCCATCTCTTCCTCCTGACAGGCCCAACCTTGATTCACCCCAATTGGGGCTGGGCTGGCCAGACCACACCCATGCATGAATTTGTGCACTGAGCCTCTAGTAGGAATATAAGTGTTGTTAAAGATGGAGGTCAGAGAAAGGTTGTTTTAAAAATGATACATCGTTTTGTTCTCATAGGAATTTTACACCAGAGGAGGACAGATGATGAAATGAAGGGAGGGTATTGTCACAAGAGTGAACCCTTAGAGAAGTGAAAGGGCGTGAAATCCGTTGCACAAGTGAAGGAAACGTACAGATTTGGAATGGCAGCATATTCACAGGAGAGGGATGAGGGGTTTTCTATGCCACCATCACTGAGAAAGGAAGGGAGAGTGGCTTCCGGAGAGGGTTTAACTGCTTGGCTGCCAGTGCAGAGTTGAACGGAGCTGGCTATAAGGAGAATTAATCTGTAAGCAGGTGAGTACAATAGAGTGAAGGTGGGGTAAGAAAGCTGAGGCTTATTTCCATGATATGTGAAAAAGGAGAGAGATCAGGATGGAGTGAAGTATTAAAATGTAGACTTCTGGGACGTTGCAGATATTCGTGACAACAACTCAGGTATGACATGAGAATAAGCCCTTGGGGGAATTAAAGGAAAGATCCCTGGAGGTAGAAAGGCCCTGGAAATGAGAGCCAAGTATATGAGAAGGGTGCCCACATGACCAAGAGGTATCGGGAGTGTGAGGAGAATAGTGAGCTGGGGCTGGAACCATGTAAGACTGTGGGGACAACAACAAGGAACAGGAAGGGGTGGTTAAGATAACATGATCGTCATATAAATTGAAATTTTCAAAATTAGAGGGAGAGGTATTAATAAATTGAAAGTTACAATGGGGAAGTTGGAGAGGAGGGCAGGACAAGATTACAATTCTCTCTCCAAACTCAGAGGTAAGTTAAAAAAATAAAGAAAGAACTAAAAACAAACAAAAAGAACATAAAATTTCAACCTGTCCTTGGGAAGGATTCAAGATGATGGTGTCCTCAGAAAATGGAACACTAGAAGATCCATGTCCTTAAGAGCTTTATAATTGAGTATAAATATCTATCTATTATTAATATTAATTAACAAAAAATGGCAAAATAATTACTATGAGCTCGTATTTAAGAGCATTGTCATACATTCTTCTTGCTGCATACAAATTTTAAGCGGGTTATTCATGTCAACACACTTCACCTGGGAATTAGGAGGGAACACACAGCTGCCAGGCGCAGTGGCAAAGAGCAGAAACATGCTCTGGCTGCCAGACCCTGATCTTATCTCGGATGCATTCTCTCTGGGATCCCCTCGATTGCTGTCTCGTTCCCACCTTTCATCTTGGCAGCTAATTCATCCAGACGTAGACATCTAAGATCAGAGTGAGATTGAAAGGAAGCAGGGTATGAACGGAAGCCTACCAATCGCAGCTCACCCCTAAATATAAGCTTGGTGAGTTATTAATTTTCACCCTCGTCATCAAGATCCCTTTGGGTAGAACAGAGTTCACTAAAGATGCCTTACTACATATTTGCTGGTTATGACAAAATGCACATATTGAGAAATAGCAGAAAGCATTGCATCCAGTATGAATGTGTCTGTACACATGAAGGTGAATCCTCGTTGGTTCTTCGTTATAAAAATTGAGTGTTAATTTGGACAACAAACACAAGTAGGCTTCCTGAGTCTTCCTATGTTGCACTTTTTACTGTGCTTCACCTGCTGTACTAAGTATTGACTAAAATATAGACAAGTTCCTTCCTCCACATGCCCTAACATGTGAAGAGGACCGAAGACAGGCAAGGAGGAGGAAATCTTGTCCAACACTGAGCAGACCTGGCATCTTCCCAAACCTCCAGATCACTGGGTGAAGCAGAGAAGACCACTGGTTTACTTACTTACCTACTAATGTATTATTTGTTCCAGAAAGAACTTAGAGCAGCTTGTAAGAATTCATAACATTTAAGAATGTATAATAAGCCGAAACCGGTTTGGCTCAGTGGATAGAGCGTCAGCCTGTGGACTGAGGGGTCCTGGGTTTGATTCAGGTCAAGGGCACTGCACGTACCTTGGTTTCGGGCACATCCCCAGTAGGGGGTGTGCAAGAGGCAGCTGATCGATGATTCTCTTTCTTCAGTGTTTCTAGCTCTCTATTCCTCTCTTCCTTTCTGTAAAAAATCAATAAATATATATATATTTTTTTTTTAAAAAAAAGGATGTATAATCAACCTAAATGAGGCATAAAAGAAGGAAAAGCAGAGTTGGGAAATATAAAATTGGGCAGGGATATGGCTGAAGAATGGGGAGCAGAAAGCCCTATTCCCTCGCTGTGGGTATGCTAGCAAAACTGCTCCACCTTTCTTAGCATCGGTGCTTAAGGGGCCCCGATCACACAGCTCAGTGTCCCTATGATGTCACTACAGACCCTGTGCTCAGGAAAAATACAGCTACTCCTGGCGCTGAGACCAGCGGGGGTTTTGCATCATTAAGAAGACCCTGCCTATCACTGTGGACAGTGGACTCAGCATGACACACCATGACTCTCAGTGGACACAGGACACACCATGACTCTTTGTGCTGTCCCTCAGTAGAGGCTGATGACATCAAGCCATAGTGTCTGGAGTTCAAAATGGATAGAGTTTTGCTGATGTAACTCAATCTGGAATATATTTTAGGATATCTAAGATGTCCTTCAAGCAACCATCACATAGTAGTAGTAGTAGTAGTAGTAGTAGTAGTAGTAGTAGTTAATCCTCACTGGAGGATATTTTTCCATTGATTTCTAAAGAAAGTGGGAGGGAGGAGAGAGAGAAAGAAATGCCTATGTGAGAGACACATTGAATGGTTGCTTCCCATATGCTCCCCAAACCAGCTGGGGAACCCAAGTATGTGCCCTTGACCGGGACTAGAACCCATGACCCTCTAGTGCATGTGCTGATGCTCTCACCACTGAGCATACTAGCCAGGGCTAAATATTATTTCTGTTAGAAAATATTTAGACCAGTGCTTGTACTGATGCTTTGAGATACTCCTTCATGGAATGCAGCTCTGTGATATGTCAGTTAAATACAGACCCATACTATAGAGGAAATCCAAAACCTAACCAGGGCTATGCACCTGAGAAGATGATCCATAGTCCTCCATTTGAATGTGAACTGGGGGTTTATTTGTAAGAAACCTTTAAGATGAACTCTAGCCCTAGCCAGGTTTGGCTTGGTGGATAGAGCATCGGTCTGCAAACTGAAAGGTCCCAGGTTCG